AAAAATTAACATCATACATACATTACATGTCTAAGATCTATTGAAACATAAAAAAAATACATAATTTATAAGAATTACGACCACCCCGATAATATGACCAAAATATTTTGGTCATATTAATGGAATTCCAATGTATTTTTAATGTGCCAAAGACGATGCTAAAATGAACATTTTTGTGATTGGCTACCATAAACAAACGGACTTAGAGTTCATGACTCACCTTTTAGTAGGAAAATCTAATCTATATTGCACAACCACCCACAATAATGATCAGGTTGTGAACAAGGTGGAACAAGGATAAAAGCTCCAAGGAACTGGTGATAACTGGGACTATAATATCTCAGTCCATGACATGTGTAAGACAGAACAAAATAGAGATCTCCACTACTTTGCTTCAAACATCATTGTTGAAAGGGTGCCTTGCAAATGTTTATCCAAAATTGCTCCCTAATGCAACATTCTCACTGTACCAAATTCTATGTTCCTCTTGGACAACACAGAAAAACGAAAGCTCCAGGATGATTTTAAAGTATTGGTTGGACAGATTCTGGTAGATCACATCATTTCTCTTTCATTCATGAAGTCAATTACACCCACACACATAGAAAGTCAATATCCTAATGAAATGGTGCACAAGTCGACAATCATACATTTATCCAGTTTGTTTATGCAGTTCAAGGAAGAGAAGAAGTATGATAGTTAATACGTAGTTAATATCCTCTCTACACATGAAAATACCTTGGAAGATATATACTCAAAGGCCAAATTGATCAAAATTCCAAAAGGTACAAAACCAGCAGCAGCTTCAAATGTCAGTATGTCTGGTGTGGCATCACACCCTGATCAACCTGGTGCTAATGCGGAAAAAAATGACAGTGAGGACCACATGAAAGATGTCCATGTATCATTTGGTGGAGACCAGATGACAAGGGTTCTTTTCGCAGGGGCAAAAGATTTGCATAGAGGATGCCATGCTGTCAAGATGTGGTAGGACTGAACAATTAGTCATGCATCATTAGTATTCATATCGATTTAGTATTCATGTATATAAGTACGTTTTATAGTTCAATACATGTTGTCTTTTACAGCTTGCTTTGACTTTAACTGAGAACATTACATGGTGGCAATGTAAAAAAAGCTTGAAATAAAATGGAAGCTTGCTAAACTTAACCAAGTATCGTTTGAAGGAAATGTAGCCAAAAACTGGCGAAGATTCAAACAGAAATTTGAAATATTCATTGTAGCATCGGGCTATGACAAGAAGACAAACAAAGAGAAGTGTTGTATGCTCTTCAATCTCGCTGGAGAGCAGGCGATTGAAGTTTATAACACTTTCACATATGGCGAGGGAGAAAAAAACGATGATCTGTCGAGTGGCCGAACAGATGCAAAGCCATATGGATGCTTTAAAGAATCCTGCGATATCAATTGATGATGTTAAAAGGGACCCGACGAAGTCAACGTGGACAGAGACACCAAGACACAAGCGAGGAAAGTTTAATCAGCAGACTTCGATTGTACAGTGCTAGTACTGTGGGACATCGCATGAAAGGAACAAACTGAAATGTCCAGCAGTTGGGAAAACATGTAAAAAATGTGGTAAGCAAAATTACTTTGCCATGACAACACTTAGACACTGTGAGCAGTACTGAGAAGAGTGGAATATCACGGTAGAGATTTTCAATAAGCCATTGAAATTTAAACTAGACACTGGAGCAATGTGCAAATGCAACGTTTTGCCCAAATCCCAAATTGAGAGCTTAGGCTCAACAATTCAGTTGAAACAGACGAACACTAGACTAATTTTGTACAGTGGAAATGCGATTGACGTTGAAGGAACAGTAATATTACCTGTGTTTTACAGAAGCATGCAGTATTTACTCCAGTTCTATGTTATAAATAATCCTGTCCAGGCTATATTAGGCTTGAAAGCGTGTGAAGAGTTGAAAGTATACGAAGAGTAGAAGAAATGAGTAAAACCGACAATGCAGAATTCGAAGCTTATGAAGATGTTTTTTCAACTGGTGTTATCGGATGTCTGCCAGTGACTCATCATATAGAGATAGACAAAAACGTAAAACCTGTTGTGCATGCGCCGCATCAAGTTCCAGCAGCACTCCGTCCAAAAATCCAAGCAGAATTGGATCGTATGGAGAAGTTACTACACCAACAGAATGGGTCTCATCACTTGTTACGGTTGTCAAACCAGACAATATTTGTTTGTGTATTGACCCCAAAGATCTGAACAAGGCAGTGAAGAGGGAATATTATGCTATGAAAACCATGGAAGATGTTCTTACAAGACTACCTGGAGCCAAGATATTTTCCAACCTTGACGTCACAAGTGGATTTTGAAGAGTCATCATTCCTGACCTGTTTTAATACACCATTTGGACAATATAGGTTTCAACGCCTACATTTGGTATCAAATCCGCACCTAAAGTTGATCAAAGAGTTATGGAGGAGTTGTTTGATGATATAGAAGGATTTTAGGATAATTGCTGATGATATAATGGTCTGGTGAAGAGACGAAGAAGAGCATGATCATGTTGTCCTCGATCGAGCCCTCGATCAAGCATATGATGTTCAGCTGAAATTAAATAAGAAATGCAAGACACATGTTAGAGAGGTGTCGTATATTGGACATACTTTTATGTCAGAAGGAATCAAGCCAGACAAAGAAAAAGTCCAAGCCATTTTACTGATGCCTGAGCCAAGTACCAAAAAAGAGCTGCAGCAGTTCATAGGAATGATACAGTATCTCGCAAAGTTCATTACTGATCTCTCTGAAAAATCAGCCCCACTACAATCCTTGTTGAAAAAGAACATGGCGTGGCAATGGAATGCTGAGCACCAAAGAGCTTACAAACTGTTGAAGAAAGACTGCAGCAAACAACCAACATTGCTTTTCCACGACATGTGAAAGCCAGTAAAAATTTCAGCTGATAGTAGCAAACCTGGGCTTGGAGCAGTTTGTGAACAAGATGGTCACCCCGTAGTGTATGCTTCTCAAGCTTTGTCCAATACACAGCAACAATATGCACAAATAGAAAAGGAACTTTTGGCCATCGTCTTTGCATGTGAAAAATTCCACCAGTTTATTTATGGAAAGAGCGTAACAGTTGAGACAGATCACAAGCCTTTGGTCAGTATTTTCAATAAGTCACTGAATGACTGTCCCATGAGTTTGCAAAGAATGCTTCTTCGGTTGCAACAGTATGATTTGCAAGTCGCCTATAAGAAAGGCACTGGATTATATGTGGCTGATACCTTAAGTAGAACATATCAAGAAATTGGTGCAGATGACTCTCTTGAAGAAAGTTTAGAAATTCACATGTTATTGCCTATTTCTGCCCCGAAGTTGAAAGAATTACAAGAGGAGATGCAAAAGATCCTGTCATGGAAAAATTACAACATGTTATTCTTAATGGCTGGCCAGAACGCAAGTTGCATTTGTCTCAATTGATTCAGAGCTATTGGGACTACAGAGAAGAGATCACAATTCATGATGAACTTATCTTCAAACGCAATAAAGTAGTTATTCCAGCAGCATTACGAAATGCTGAAAGCTGTGCACCAACGTCATCTCAGAGTAGAAACGAGTAAATGTCTAGCACAAGAGGTTCTATTTTGGCCAGAGATGGACAAAAAAATTGAAAAACTCGTTAAATTGTGTAGCATCTGCAACCAGAACAAGCCCCAGCAACCATCAGAACTAGGGATGAGCTGATATCAGAAAAAAAAAAGATTCACCAATCCGATATATCGGAGCCGATATAAAAAATAATCGGCCGATATTTCTGTGCAAAAGTTGAATAAAAGTTTAAAACCCGGTACAAGCGCCGGATAACGGTTTTTTGACAACTTTTAATACTTGTGTATACGCCACACATTGACGTACTAGTTTTAGCAATTTAAAACACTCCACGTCACATCTTTAAACAGTAAAACTGGCTAAATTTTTTTCAGTGATTTTGTGTTTAAGATACAGTGATAAGGTTTTAACTTACAAGTGGTCTTATTCCCTAACAAAAGTTATAGAGTTATTCTTAAAAATCGTAAAAATTGCGAATATCGGCAAATAGCCGATTATAAAAAATAATCGGCCGATTACCAATTATTTTGAAAACGCTAAATATGAGCCGATTTATCGGCCGTACCGATTAATCGGCTCATCCCTAATCAGAACCGTTAAAACTTCATCCAACTCCATCTAGACCGTGGGAACGTATTGGGGGTAGATATCTTTATGTTTCACAGAAAAAACTATTTGATTACGGTCGATTTCTACTCAGGATGGTTCGAAATTGATCTGCTGAGTAATATGTTATCTTCAACCATCATAACGAAGTTATAGACACAAATGGCTCGATATGGAATTCCAGACATCATTGTTAGTGATAACGGTCCTCCTTTTTGTTCTAAACAGTTCCAAGCATTACATGGCATTTTGAACACATAACGAGCTCACCAGGATATCCCCAGAGTAATGGTGGTGCAGAAAGAACTGTCCAAATAGCGAAATCACTGATGACGAAAGCTGTAGAAGGTGTTGATCCCTACCTGTCATTATTAAACCATCGCAATACACCTCGAGATTCGGTACTGGGAAGTCCAGCACAACGTTTAATGTCAAGGCAAACAAAGAGTCTTCTTCTTATGGCTAAAAAGAGCTGTTACAGCCAAAAGTGAAAAATCCTGAAGTGGTGCAAGAAAGGCTGCAACATTACAAGAATCAGCAAAAGAAAACTTATGATTGAAGAGCCCAAGAATTGCCAATATTGAATCAAGGCGATGTCGTCAGAATACAAGGAGAAAAGGGATTTATGCAGAAAGGTGTTGTTGTAGAAAAGTCGCAGCATCCTAGATCGTATCTGGTCAAATCATCATCCAAAACGTATAGAAGAAATAGAAAGCATTTGTTGAAAGTAGATGAGCCTATTGAGAAACACAATGTTGAGAAAGTGGATTATGGAGGTGAAGAAGATAATCAAAAGAAGAACGCAAATGAACAATTACATTCAGAGACACAAGCTGTTGTTTCAAGCCCGAACAATGATGGAAATAGTAGTGTGAAAACGTATAATTTGTAAACTTAATTTGTAAACTCTGGAGGTTAATCTTATAATAAAGTATTTAAGTTAATTTAAAGCTGTAAGACGAGTATCTCTAATAACTTAACAGATTGCAGAACTGAGAAAATGAACAAAAAGATACAATTATAGTTACTTAAAACTTTGTAAAGAAATGGAGATGAAGTAGGACAACCTCGTCCCCAAGGTCTTCCTCGTAGTGGCGTGCAAGCTGAGGAAGACCCTGGTAAAATACGATGAAATCTCCAAGATTCTTGGAGATTTATTGCATGCGCAGTAATGACAACGTTATGTTGCTGACTACAATTAGTGCTGGCGCTTACGGTTTTCTTGCTTAAAAATATACATGTTTTGTTGATTGTTTATGTATTTATTCTCAAAGTTTTAACAAATTTTACGAAAAATAATTCTGGTATAAGCTGTGAACACACATGTACACAAAACTATGCAACATTCATCATCCTATTGTATCGGTTTGTCGGAGTATGGAGCTCATATTTGTGACATTGTTTTGTTCGCTTTGGCATATAAAACATTGATAGTGTTGCCTGGAATATGAAATGTATGTATTGATTGATTGTTCTGTATTTCAAGGTATGTACTGTACATTTATACTGAATTTATTCGATTTATTTTCACACGTTGCTTTCACATTTTCTCAGAGTCTCGGAAATCACATTTTCTAACACAGTTTCCCAACTACAGAAGGACTTCATTTCACAATTTAGGTAAGATTGTCTTGCAAGTTGGTTGTTCTGACAAAATTATCCAGCCGATATCCAGTACATTTATTCGTCATTCTTGTATTAATCTCTAAAGAAAAATATTTATGTTAGAAAGCAAAATGACAATGTAATGAGGCTCGGGAGGGCATGAGGATTCTTTTATTTGAAAATGTTTGTAAAAATTTTGTTTAATTAACTCTAATGTGTAAAACCAAAATGTATAAGTATTTTAACTGATAACATCGACCTTTGCTCTAACACTACATTTGATGACAGCTTTATAGTTGGACTGTTGTTTTGAACAGTGTTATGGAGTCAATATACAAAAATACAGGACCAGGATTTAATTCAATATCTCCTGAGAATGTGTTCACTGTTAAAAATATTACAGAAGTCACAGAAGGATTGTTTTTAATACTGTATAAATCTTTTTGTGAACTATGTTGACAAATGGCTTAAAATATCCTCGAAAACATCCAATATTTTAACAGTGTAATATATTAATAAAAAAATTCCAGAGTGCATTCCATGTAAACTCTACGCCGAAGATACGGCAATATTAACTATAGATAGTATAGTAAATAGTTGCCGAACTGGCGAACTCATGTATTATAAAACTTATAAAATATGTGGGACATATATTTGCACAAATTTGGTATTTAAATATATAATATGTGGTATTTGACTATTTACCAGATGAGGATAAGATTTCATGTTGATAAATAACTTCGGAATAATATTGCAAGTAGAATGGCGAGAAAAGTCAGAAAACAAGACAGCCAATTCAAGATAAATTGATAAAAATATCAAGATATTTTTGAAAGAATATAAAACACGATTTATACACGAGGCCTGACGAGGCTAAAGTATTCCCGTTCGCAGGTTAGATCAGCGAGCACAATGTAAACAATTGATGTAAACGAATCGCTGATTGGCTTAAATTATATAAACGCGTCGCTGAATGGCTATGTGCTAACATACGGTAACATTAACGGCAGGTTTGCGATAGCAATATATCTGCTTCGCAGATACAAAAATAGGTACGCAGTGCGTACATGTTGCATGCCATCTGAAACCCTTGACGCGCTATAGCCTATAGCGCTTATAACCTTTGGTACAACTGGCGTGAAACTTAAAATATCGATTCAATAAGTTTAATATCAAAATATTTATTGAAAAATAGCTATTATGTCAAAATAAGAAAACTTATTAAGATTCTCACGCAAATTAGCCTACGGTGTAGACCCCAGCAGAAACACGCGTATAGGCAATGTTTTTATAAGCGACCGATATATTAGTAGTTAGTTGCAAGCGACGGTAATAATAACATTAACAAGGTCAAGGTGGGTCAACGTTTTATCGAAAGCGATTGACTGTTAGATTTGCTTCACAAATTTATAATTAAATAACGTTATTTCCTTTAGATTTAGCTTTATTGTAACTTTTTAAAGGTACAAAAAAAACGTGGAAACGGTGAATTACTATAATAGATTGAAAATGATTATTATTTATCATTTTGACGTTTCATCTACATCTACATCTATATTTATTAAGTCGATAAAATCTTTTCGAATATCACACCAACTATTTATAACTATACCTATTCTAAAAATCTATATTTACAACAATATTTACTATTATTAAAAAGTTATTAAAAAGAATTGCTTAAATTGTTTCTAAACTGGAGGAGGTTCTCTGAGCTCACAATTTCTTCGGGAAGTAAATTCCATTCCCTAATCGTGCGAGGAAAAAAGGAAAATTTAAAAACATCTTTGGTAGTTTTTGGGACTCTATATTTATAGCTATGACTGCCACGAGTCCTGGTCTCATTATTTACCAGCAAGTAATTATTTGTTTCAACGTCTACAAGATTCCGAGAGAGTTTGTACAACAATGTCAATCTAGCTTTCTTTCTTCTAACTTCTAAACTGTCCCAATTTAGATCTTCAATCATATCAGTGACACTTGACATAGGATTGTAGTTCTTGGAACAGAAACGCGCTGCTTTTCTCTGCACTCTTTCCAAAGCCACTTTGTCCTTGTTAGTGTAAGGATCCCAGGCTGTTGATGCATATTCTAGCTTGGGTCGTACAATGGATTTGTATGCTGTTTCTCTCACTTTCGTGGGGCAATTCCACAGATTACGTCGCATCACACCAAGAACTTTCGTTGCTTTACTTGCCACCGAAGAGACATGGTGATTCCATTTTAATTTACTAGTGAAAGTAATGCCCAAGTAAGATATTTCTTCCACTTGATCTAGCTCTACTCCACAAAACAAATACCGCTTTTGGGGAGGATGCTTTTTATTGGAAATGCATAAGATTTTGCATTTTGAGGGGTTGAATTCCATCTGCCATAGATTTTGCCACTGTTCTAGCTTATGCAGATCATCCTGTAGGCGGTCACAATCTGAATCACTCGTAATGACACCATATAATAAGGCATCATCAGCAAAAAGTTTCACAGTTGACTGCAAGTTGTCCGACAAGTCATTAATGTACAATAAAAATAGGAGCGGGCCAAGCACTGTCCCTTGGGGAACTCCTGACGTCACAAGTAGGGGGGTAGATGTTTTGCCTTCACAGACAACAGACTGATAACGTTGTGAAAGAAAAGACTCGAACCAATCAAGTAACTCTCCAGAAATTCCATAATAATACAGTTTCCTCAAAAGTCGTTGATGGGGTACCTTGTCAAAAGCTTTCGAAAAGTCCAAGACTGCAACATGTGTTGACTCACCACGTTGAATTGTATTCGCCAGATCATGTATGGTTACAATAAGTTGGGTTTCGGTTGATCTTTTTGCCCTAAATCCATGTTGACAGTCCGTTAGCACGTTGTTTTGTTGCAAGTGTTTCATAACATGACTGTGAATTATATGTTCCAATATCTTAGAGGCAATACAAGTCAGAGAAATAGGTCTATAATTAACCGGGTCTGATTTTTTCCCTGTTTTGAAGATCCCACATATATTTGCATTTTTCCACTTAGAAGGCACGATTCCTGTGTCTATGGAGCATTGATAAATATTAGTTAACATGGGTGAAATGTCTTGGGCATATTCTTTTAGGAACCAGGATGGGATAGAGTCAGGTCCACAAGCTTTGTTTGTTTTCAATGACAGTAACTGCTTAGTGACACCGGAGATGGAAATACTGATAGGTCTTATTGCTGGTTTAGGATTATCACGTACTGCTGGTATATTTGCAAGATTTTCGTCAGTGAAAACAGAAGAAAACTGCTTATTAAGGATTTCAGACTTAGTTTGTCCATCACTAATTAATTTTCCATCAATTTCCAAATCTGCTACTCCCAGGTTATCCTGCTTTAGTTGCTTCACATAAGACCAAAAACGCTTTGGGTTTTCTTCAATCGCGTCGCCAAGGTACTCTGACACATAGATATCTCTGGCAGTTTTCAAGTTCTGGTGTAACCTTTTCCTAGCAGCACGAAACTGGTGCCAATGTGTTGGATTTCCAGACTTCTTGGCTCTGTTGTATAATCTTTGTTCTGCTCTTCCTTCGCGTCTTAATGTGCGATTAAACCAAGGTAGGTTATGCCGGGAGGTAGTCATCTTATGTGGGATGTGGGTATCCATAATGCGACGTACACTATATTCAAACTTATCCCATTTCCTGTCAACAATTTCGTGTTTGGTATTTTGTATGAGATCATTAGAAAGTTCTTTCAGCTCTTCTTTTATACGGATACAATTAGCTCGTTTTCTACAATAGATCTTACGTTTCACATTCCGTTTCTTTTTGCAAGACGGTCTCACCCTGAAAAGCACCATGTCGTGATCACTTATTCCAGGTATAATTGTTACATTGCACACAAGGTTTTTGTTGTTAGACAATACAAGGTCTAAAATATTTTGTATTTCCCCTTGTCGTCTTGTGGGTTCTTGGACTAGTTGGGTTAAATCATGTTCGTCTACTATTATGTTCGTTTGAGTGATTAAAATGAGTTAATTTACACTATGTCGAATGTCATGTTGAATGTCATGTTGAATGTCATGTTGAATGTCATGTTGAATGTCATGTTGAATGTCATGTTGAATGTCATGTTGAATCTTATGCGTACTTCACAATGGTTGCTATTTCGTTGTATTAAATTTCAACAGTATTACTACCAGGTGATCTCGTGTTCGTATTTTAGCCAATCAGCGCTCAGAAAGGGTTGTCCGAATAGAAATCCATTTTGATGTATTCAGACAATTATATCTTTCATTATTCTTTATGAAAATAGTTGAAATTTTGTAATTATGTTTGGTTATGAGAACTATAGCTCTGACAAAAATATGGAATCGAAATAAAGTATATTACAGGAGATATTCAGTTGTTTTAATCATAAAATGGATTTCTATTTGACAACTAGTGCCAGTATTTTTCCGCGTATCAAGATCACCTGGTATTTATAATCAAATTTTGTTTGATATTTATATTTCATGTTATTTACAAAATGTGCTGTAGTTTTGAAGCTTTGCACACAATATAATCAGTGCGAGCACAATGGCTCCGTTCCAGTTTGAGTATATAAAAATCGAGTATTTTGATAGCGTTGGGCTTCGAGGCTTTCACGATATATCACGCCTCCTAAATATGATAGCGTTGGGCTTCGAGGCTTTCACGATATATCACGCCTCCTAAATATGATAGCGTTGGGCTTTGAGGCTTTCACGCCTCCTAAATATAAACGCCTGATAATTGATAAATAATCAGTGCGAGCACAACGGCTGCAAAATCACAACAAAAAACAAAATATGAGGCAAGTTAAAAAGAGTAAAGCTTTACCTACCTCGATTTACTTTTCTAAGGCGCTCAATTATGTAAATTTTCGGCGAATAATCAGTATTTCTTTGCGTTTCTTTCGACGAAAACCCGGCATGAAAATGCTCGTCGGAAAACTCGGTATTTGTCGTGCACTCGTACTTTACGAATCTACCACGTGATTTACGACCGGTACGCAGGTACGCACACTGAACACGACGACATGAAATTTAGAGCTATATGAAAGTTGCATGCCATATATGGCATGCAACAAAAACTGATGTCTAAAGAAAAACAACAATCGGAGCAGCGCGAAACTAACGGAAATGATCGGAAATGCCAATGCAATTAAAAATAATTAAGTCCAACTCTAACTCGGATCCAAACTTGATGTTTCGTGATTGCTTTTATAACTTTATAAACCTGGTAAATTAAAATTATTATTGATTTGAAAAATTGTATTTTATATAATTTCGTCGATTAAAACAACCGTTCATAATTTGTACTCAGCTCCAAACACCTGCTCGAACCCTATATATTCATCCTTACTAACGTTCAAGGTCACTAAAATACATAAACATTTCACTGTACGTGTTCTACAATTTGATTGTCCAAAATAGCATTCACCGGTTTTTTTAGCTGATCATGTTTTCGAGCATCTGTGATCCTCCTCCAGAGATCCTCCTCCTTCCAGCGCACGCTGGGAACACACATCGCGATCGGCACGTGCTGGAATGATAACTCACTTTATAAACATGACCACACAGGAGTGCAAGTGAAGCACTTTCATCGGCTCAGAAATATTGAATATAGTTGCTTTTCTTCATTTTCGTTTCTAAATGGACAATGGATAGTCTTAGTTCGTTACAAAATATCACCTCGCGGGAGCTATTTCTATAAATATCTAGCAGTAAGAAAATTAAAAATATTTTAATGACGCATTTACACAACGTCAGTTCAAATCACTTGCTTTTGGCGATAAAGATAACATTCAATCCAGTATATTTTGTGTTCAATATATAGACCACAGTAAGACTTTTTTTTAAATGTTTATTTCATTAACAAACGACGTTTTGGAAATTTACTCCATCTTCAGGTAGTTAATTATAGGATTACAATTTGAATTTTTTTAAAAAGAAAAAATTCAAATTGTAATCCTATTACCGGGCGAGCTTGAAAAATATGCCCGGCCACGGTGGGATTCGAACCTACGACCTTTGGAATACTAGCCCAATGCTCTTCCAACTGAGCTACGCGGTCAGGACGGTTCGAGTAAGGCTGTGGGCTAGTATTCCAAAGGTCGTAGGTTCGAATCCCACCGTGGCCGGGCATTCAAGCTCGCCCGGTGTGGATATACACTCAGAGTAACACCACAAATAACAAAATATACTATTAACATGAGACTTAGGGAAAGTTCGTTCCTAAACATTTTGAAGAATCCAGTATAGTTTAGATTGCGTGGTATGCCCTTATTTAAATTAATAGTAGCACTTTATCTTTTACTTTTACAGGTGACCATAACTTTTAATTTAAGTAACGATTTTTAACATTTTCAGTTTTTTCATTGCAAAATACAAAGATGTAAGTGTTGTTTGTTAGAGGCTTACATGAGTTATAGCAATGAGCTAACTTTGACCCCAGACTTTGGCCCTTCGACTTAATATGATCTAGACCCCCAGACTTTGGCCTAATTTGACTGAAAATGGTCTTGGCCGGTACTTGGGATACGAGTATACGACGTTGCCACAAAGTCTGCAACCCACGCAATAATATTTTTCAATTTAAATAAATCATATTCATTGGAAGAGTATTTTAAATTAAACTAATGATTTTGTCCTAACGAATCACCTGGGTGCGGTTACAGCGGTGGGCTGGTGGTAGCCGAGTCAGGCCGTATTCTGAAGACACCTTTTTGTACACTTTATCTATTTAACAATTATTCGCCAAGGCGAGGTGATTATCGGGGAATATTCACCGAGACGAAGTCGAGGTGAATATTACCCGATAATCAACGAGACTGAGGCGAATAATTGTTTTAGTATTTTTACACAAGTCTTCAGTTGTTTTTTTTCGTTAACTGCCATTTTGTAAATTTCGGTTTTGTTATATTCACCTGTAGGTGAATATAGTAGCTTAATACGTCAAATTTGACCAATCATCTTGTAGGATTTGTTATAACTTGTCACTTGTGCAAAAATACTAATAATCATTATTCCACCAAGTCAGGCATAGATTTGTATTTTATATATTCTTTTTATATAACCTACTGCAAAGAGAGTGTCTGATGAAAGTCCAAAGGAAAGCTATAGAATATACAACTTTTACTTAATTAAGCAGGTGTCCATGCATGTTTCATCAGTTTATGAATTATTCTATTATAGCACGTATCTGCTGACCTAACACCGTATTTGGAGATTCAAGCTGTCAATTGACAGAAGTTTCGTCGTTATACAAACACCTACAGTGTATGATAAAATTTCTATGCATCTGCGACGTTTACGGACTGGGAATCTGTTAACTATTCAATTTATTCATGAAATAACGATGAAGATCATCACAATTCGTTTATTGTTGTTGACCATATTAGCTCGCTTCATCGCAGTTAGCATATGCAAGTCACAATCATCTTTGAAAAGTCCAAAATATTTCAAGAAAGTGAAAGATCATGGTAAGTATATAACACTTTAATTTAAAACAGGGTCATTGCTCATGCTGTTAATTGGATTAGATCAAAAGCTGCAGCATGATATTTTTGTTAATTATACTTTACTTATCTATAATTTATACATATTTGGAAGGCGGACTAAATAAACCCGATGGGCTTGGCGAGTATAGCCTTCCATACTAAATTCTGTAATACCAAAAAAATGTTAGTGAAGAAAATAACATTTGCCTATTGTCAGTCTATTTTCTAAGTAAAATGATGCACAAAAAAATTTGAGTCAACGTGCTTCTTTTCCAACTATATACATGAAGAAATAGACTAAGTTTGTGAATTTCTGCGTTTTGTTGCCATAGCAACCAACTGTAGCTGCATGTGTTACCAAAATTAGCATAATTGGAAAGAAGAAAAATATTTTAACATCCCAATTTTTAATATGCTGCATAAAATTCAAAAATATGAATTTTTAAAATGTCCATCTGTTGTATCAGTTGTACACTCCTGAATCATTTGAAACTGTATCGAGCCACCTTAATGAAGGCTTTGGGGGATTGAGAACACTACGTTGATAGGCAGTGACAATACACACTAAGGACCTGTTCATATGAGCCAGGCTGGCCTGCTAATCCCGGTGACACGCAAGGGGCAAGATGTCGTCTCGCATATCGTTTCTATATGTTCTCGACATGCGTTCACACGAGAACCGGGCCAGCCCCGTTGCTGGGATCCCGCTTGAGCTCGGCGAGATCTCGATTTCCCGGGATCGTATGAGCACAATTCAGCATATAGCAAATCAAGCCGCAGGTTCGATTGGCCTGCCGTAGGACCTGTCCTAGTGTTAATTTTTTCGCAACCGTTCCAACACACTTGGATTATTCAAACTCAGCATTCAAGTTCAACCAAGTGAAGTGCAAAAAAACATCTTTCAAGTTCATATATCAGCATATATATGCACTTATACGGCTAGCCCGGAAAACTGGGCTGGAAATTGTATCACAACACATCAGTGCTTTATGACATCTAGAAAGCATATAGAAATTAAAAACAAGTAAGAAATGGCAACAAAATTAATAAAATACCGTCAATATAGCATTTTGTAAAATCGAATTTCTATAGCGCTTGTCGGGCCTAATGTGAAACAAATAACGACTTGGCCCGACAAAACGAGTTAGCCCGGTTTAAGGGGCCTGCCCGTCTCATAGGTTTAGGTAAGCACATGCATGCAAGCTAGGTCGACAGGGTTTATATATAGTGTTAAGGGGCCAAAGCTTTTATATACTCCTATCAGCATATACTCCTATCAGCATATACTCTTATAGTCAAAAATCAATTGTGATAAAAACCGTATTGGTGTCATTTATGCCACAATAGTCCCTAAATGTTAGATCAAAAAGTGTGGTGTGAAATATGGTATGACTATAAAAATCATGTTGTGTTTGATGAAACTGAAGTTAAAGAACAAAAAATAGCGACTTGTTATTTGTACATATGCATATGAACCTAAGAAATATAAGTGCAGGTGTAGATTTATGAAACATAAAATTCGAGATGTAAAATTGTAACGTGATATATCCTGTGGTGTATATAATATTTGATCCGACCCAAAGGGTATGATCGCGCTGTACTAAATTAAGCTTGTATGGAGCATGTAAAATTAAGCGAGAGAAGGGGACTGTTATGTATGCAAAATTCAGTATCCCTTCCGCGTCTGCTGTATGCCTTCCGCTATGGGCTCGTCAGCAGGGATTTGGGGTTGGCATATGTGTAAGAAGGATAGAATGAACCGATTTGGATTACAGAGTCAGTCAGAGTCCGTCAACGGTCTGCCGAAAGTCATGGGTTTTCTCCGAATGCTCCGGGTTCCACGGGGAAAGTTGACAGGGTGGATTAGGATAGACACAGTTAAGAAAATAATTTCACAGTTATTGTAAAGATATAATAATTATAGCTAAGCGTAATATATAAGCGCATTTGATCTTATTCACCGGCCGCAGTAAATTTGCGCTATATAGAAATGCTAATAGTAATCGTAATCATTATATGTTTAGTTAACATTAAAAGAGAATGATAGTCAGCCTAACCAGTACTATGATCCCAGACTATACAAACCATTTGACGGTGTAGCACGTTGGAGAGATTCTGCCCAAGTTGCATCGCAAAGGCCTTGGGAGCTGAGTAGCACAAATTAATAGAAATCCCCCAAAATATAACGATCTTGATCAGGAGCAGCTGTAGATAATGTCAAATTATATATCCAATAAGTCCTGGGCAAAGTGCTGAGAAGCAGGGGAGGCGCTAGACCTCAGTTTGAATTGGGTGCATGTGTAACTGAAATTTGCCGAGTTAAGTAATAGAAATTTTACCGATATTTTTTATTCATTCATTAATTATTTATAAAACTCTAAAAACTGTAAATACAGTATTTTAAAACGCTAAACCACTCGAACCACTTTCAAAACCATGTTAAAATTTGTGCGCATATTTGGTAACCCGGACGATGCCAGCAGACATTCAATGATATAGCATATTATATTTAACAATTGTTGAATGAGGTTGAGCACGATATGAAGAATTATCAAGCCCGAAGTTTGCCGTTGTCAACCGAAGCCGAAGGCTGAGGTTGATAACGGCAAACTGAGGGCTTGATAATTCTTCATATTGTGCGAAAACCGAATTCAATAATTGTTTTATTATTTATTTAAAAAATTCAAAACAAACATTTGTATTTTATTTGTATTAAGAAAAAACAATTCCTTAGTCCTTCTGGCAGCCGTCGTTGCGTCATATCAATGGCGTCAGCGAGTCAATATGATTCTCGTTGTCATAGTAATATGGCGCAAACGCGTCCAAATTTTTTTCATATTGACTCTTTGACGTCATTTTGCTAATATGAATGTGAAATATCCGTATTTGGTTAGCCATTGAGTTGATATGACAATTTCACAGTTGGCTGTTAGCCAATCAGAAACCAAGGATTTTTGAAATAAATAATAATAGTATATAAGTATATTAGTATATTCGTAAAAAAATATTATCAACTAACGAAATTGTGTTTTCAAAACAATAGGCGAATCATTGCCACCAAACGAAATTATATCCAGTCATACCGTCCATTCCAAAGTTGAATGTTCCTTGAGATGTCTTCAAAAATTAATATGCGTGGGTTACAACTACAGACCTAAATCAAATAAATATGCAGTGAATTGTCAACTCAGCAATAAAACTCAAGACGGAGAAAGTGATGAAAGTGGAGAGTGGAGGTTTTATCAAGATCTGGAAACGGTGAGTAACGAACTTCATCATAATATAAATGCTCAACAAAGACCCAGAAACGTTTAAGTGTTGAAAGAAACACCTTATTATGATGGAACCAGAAGGATAGGTCTTTATTTTAACGAACTTACAATTTTCATCCGCATTAAAATTCTCAAGATAATCTATATTTATTATAAATGTATTACTCCCAAATAATGTAATAATGTTGTTTTATTTATATACTAGCTAGAAATACATGGCAGCAACCCCTGGCTTATATTTTCCAAACATTGAGTTAACATGAAGTAATAGTAATTGGCCAGAACTGAACGCAGCAGGCTCGCGTAGTGCATCACGTTTTGCCATCGCAAGTCGCAACACGATTATTTTAAAATTTTAATTGTTTTTTATATTGAATTAATAAAAGAGATATTCAGTAATTGCAGTGTTAATTAAGATTAATTTTCTCTCCTTTACTACATTATAATTTTTTTAAAACGAAACAGGGAAGGTTAGAAAGCTACATTGTCAAGCAGGCAGTGCATGTTTTACGCAAAACATTAAAGCAACTAATTCATAAACATTAAGTAAAACATTGAAAGCAAACTTGCCTTTTATTTCACGATTTTCATTAGAAACTCAATTGTTTTTATTTCTTCAAAGCAAAATTGTTTGAAAACTCCATTGTATGCAACGGTTTTCCAAATACTTGATCATCCCACTCGGCCACTCCTAGTAAACAGTCAATCTTTTAAGACATTGTGGAGGTCCACCCATACACCATGATACCATGAAACTTATAGGCATGCACCCGCAATTATTGATGAACGTTAAACACTGATGAATTTAAATACTTTCCTTTCCTCCAGGCGTAAATAGTCGAGGGGAATTAGGTCCCTCGCTCCGGGCTTGCACTCGGAAAGGAGCTTCCCGCCTGATAATATTGCATGAACGATTTTCTTTCTTTCCTAGCTGACGTCGACTAACAACGAAGAGGAAAATGAGAACTTACTAAGTGAGTGAAATAAATTGTATTATTACTGTAAGACGATTGATAACACAGAGCTGACGGGTATACATATATCTTGAAAGGTTTGAAATATAATCCAGCCGAGACATGATACTAATTTCGAACGTATTTTTCTGAACCTTGAAAAGGCGTGGAAGTTCTTGGCAACTCAGTTGAAAAAGGTAATAGCATTCCTTGCGATTTTACTGCATCATTTGAACATATTCCTCCATGCACCTACTAGAAGTGATTCGGCAAAAAATTATCCGCACGCCCGCACGGACATTTTTACTGTTACTGTTATAACCAGGACTGTTGATAACTGACGATGACTCTATGTATACCAGGAGGGAAGAAACAAGGGGGCCGTTCGTGGTATCGCCCGGCCTAAAAAACAATTTTTCCTCATGTATTTACCAAAATTCCTGTTGATGGCGAAGGGCAAACATTTTCGATGTCATTTTCAAAATGAAGCTAATTCTTTAGTACAATTCCTCCAATTGCCCAATTCTTAAGTACAATCTGCCCGAACGAATATTTTTTTGAGGGAAGGGTGGTCTGCAGCCCTTAGAACCCCCTCCTACGCCTATGCATTGAAAAGGTTGAAGTTTTGTTTATAGAATGCGTTAGTTGCGCGTGCCTTCCCGTAATTCCGGAAAAAAACATATGTGCTGTCCAAAACACGTGTGGTGTTCAGCCAAAGACAGAATGAAGCCAATATAATAAAAACGCTCGTTTTAATACCATGATAATGGACAGTGTTATGTAGCATAGAATATTCATATATCCGCTGAAACACTTTGATTGCACGGATAAAATGTGTGGCAACAGGAGTAACAGGTTTGTTGGTAGCTTTGTCAATGACAGCACGACGATGCTCACCAACCCTTGGCTCAATTAAATTGCTTCCAGTTTTCCCGATATTTTTATGCCACATTGACTGCATGAAATGTTATCAGAGGCCAGGAGGACACCAGTTCAGTGCACTGATCTGAAATAAGACTGGGTTAAGCATCTGCTGTGCATATAGTGAAGCCAATGGCGGCCATATTGGATGGCCACACAATTAATCTAGTCTGGTGTTGTGGACATGTTTAACTCTTCTTTACGTTTCTATAGTCACTAGTGGAAAAGGACAAATATTGCGTAGATACGAATAACGAATTTATCATCAGTAGCCTCCCTTTTTCCCTAAATTTGCTGGTGAGTAAATTTGCCTCAGTCACTTCGAAGAGGTTTTGGAAGCTATATTTCACAAGTCACATAGGCGAAGGTATTTGCTTTATAGTCTAACTGAACTTAAACAGCAAACTACTAGACAGGTCATGAATTTGACTGATTTATAAATCTCATCTCATTAAAATATTCTGCTTCAAAATCGGATCACTAAATTCAATAGGATGCTTTATCCAGTTTTATTTCAGATCAGTGGTTCAGTGTCGTTTTTCAACATTTGGAAATTCATGCCAATGACATCTCTCAATTTGTAATTGAACGGATAATGACGGTTAAAACTATAGAGGAATTTTGTTATTACTAGGTCTAGGAAAATTTGGGAGGTATTTAAAAACGCGTTGTCTGAGAGATCTAGAGAGGTGAGATAACCACGTTGGAGATACTGATTACGAGTTTTGATTAAGGAATGTCAGGGATCCCAAAATACATCACCCGACGTTCGTGATCCTTAATTCTAAATTTTTTTTTGAATTGTTTCTTAGACTGTGTACCCACTTTTATTTATTCTATTAGATGATTTAACAAGTTGCAGGGAGTTGTACCAAACGATGCTCAATGGCCAGTTACCTAACGGATGGTATAAATTGAAAACTTTGGAGGTAAAGTATTAAAACACTTTGCATGCATGCATGTTTTATATCATTTGAACGTTCTAAGGTTGAATTTTAATTACAATTGACCTCCATCTATAGTTACACAATAAAATTTTCCATACACTTTTTAGGAAAACTTTCATTAACATGCACACATGTATTCCAAAAATCCACACATATCCACAAATATATCATCACTTCGGGTAATATTTCGCCGAATCCCCCGAGCGGAGAGTCTATAAGTGATATATTATATACCGAAAATTAAAAGCCTGCCCTCCAAGTTGAGAAGATAAAACTTGCCACATACCTTCGTGAACACGACGTTTTATTTTTTGATGAACGCAAGTATTTGTCACTTTTATTTGTATTTGCGTGATCGTCTCGTTTGGTTTATGCGAATAATACCACCCGGGTGATATGACCAAGTCACCGTGTGAAGATTGAAATCACATGCCAACCTCGTTGGGGCGAGCTTGATCACATGCTACCTCAAATACGATGATGTAAGGCGTGATTCGATGGAAAATTGTCATGCTCACGTGGCACTAACTTAGCTATTTGATTGGACATTTTCAATTATTGTTTATAGAGGCGGAACGAGGGGGATTCGGCGAAATATTACCGAAAGTGATGATATTTCCCGAGGGACTTATGCCATGCGTTGAAAAAATATGCCGTTCGCAAGCTGTTGTTTGTAGCTAATTCCGTCTAAAAGATTTATTGATTTACCTAAGGCCTTTTCAAAAGGTATGTTACCTTCATTAATCTAAAGGATACAGGCTTAAATTTTTTAAAGAGAAAACCTCAAAATATTCTGACATGAATAAGAAATTAAACATTGTACTGTATTCGCTTAGTTATTCAGCAAGTTTATTCTCAATCTAGTGGGTCAGTCTTTAACTTTAAGTATGATATCTAATTTATAGACCCTCCGCTCTGTAGATTCGGAATCCCCCTCTCTCCGAGTATACAAATGATAAAAATGACCAGGGCCTTAGCGAGGGGGTATTGAGGGGGGGGGGGGGGTTAACCCCCCAACTTTTTTAGAATTAACATATTCGGAAATCAGGTTGGCCATTCGGAAAATTGTGACAATAATAGTATAACAAAAGCTTAGTTGGTTAAACAGAGAAATTATAATATAATTGTATTGTCAGTGTAAACTGATTTACGAAATCATGGCATTTACATGGATAACATTTAAAAAATCGTTTCCTTCCCCCATTTAGTATTACTAAGTTGTAAGCAAATTTATAAATTTAGACATACTAAAACCCTTTTTTTACCATCAGAATTCTGTCAAAACTTCCCCAAAGTCCAGGAAATGGCATTTCAGAGACTCTAAATTAAAAAATTTCCCTCGAGCCTTCGGCCCTCGTTTTCAACCCCCAATCAAAAAGAGCTTCCTTCGGCACTGCATGCTTCTGTAATATGTCTGTGCGTTAAATATGTGTATATTTGTTTGTAAATTGCATCTTCTTTTTCCGGATAGCAAGCACCTTCGTGGCTTCGTATGCCATACAATATACGGCCCTGAAAATGACATACCTTAATTTCGAAACTTGGATTAAAAAACGATGAACTATTCTTTTCTATAGACTTATTGCGACCTATTAAATAATGGCTGGACTCTTATTGCACGTTTCTCAAACGGTGATCCTAAACACTGGATTACAAATAGTTCTTTTTGGTATGACAAAATGACTCCATATGGAGACGTAAGCAACCCTTCCACTAATGCAGATATGATTTCTACCGCTTTCTGGAAAGTTAAAGGCAATGAGTTTAAGATTACAAGAAGTAATGATGGCAGTCACACAGCTCTACTACAAACCACTTCCAATTGTCTTCAAGGCGGAACCTTCAGATCTAAAATTACAAGCTTTGGGAACTTTCGTAATGGCGCTGTCTGGGGGAGTGACCAGTGTCGTGGAAGTTGTCAAGTTAGTTACGGCGGTCAGTACAAAACTACTTCAGGTTTTGAACAGCACAGTTGCAGCAGCGATATTCAGAGTGGTAACTACATTGGGTTTTGGTGTGATTGGGATGGTGGTGATGGTGCAGTGATGATGATTGGTGGAGGAGGCAGTGGTTGTGAAAGAGCAGATCATGGTATTGGAATAACAGAGCATGGTGCAGCAAAGTTTGGACCAGGAGACATGCATCATGATTTTGGTAATATTAATAATTTCAAGTCTACTGCAACTACCTCGTTTTCCCTCAACCTTTGGGTTCGTTAAATGTATTAATTATCTTGACGTTACGACAAAATATTCAAAAAATCTAACACACCAAGTCTTTTTAAAACTTAATAGTAATATATACTGCTCAAAATTGAAGTGAGATTCCATGCGGCGTGTTTTTGCAGTGTTTATTTGGAAATGTAATTGATTGAACTCAATAATTAGTCCATTACGAAACAAACTTCTCCGCAATCATATCAGATTTTGTCACTACGAAACTGCGGCAAGTTTAATTTGAAAAACGTACGTTTTTGCAGTAGTTGTAACAGCAGCCTACAGAGCATGTAGTAACTACATTGGAGTTTAGTGTCATTGGGATGGCGGGGATAGATCTGACGTTATTATTATCAATCTTTATACAGGTTTAACTTGTTCAGTGTTTTGTTAAATATATACATATTTATATTTAACAAATATAAAACATTTTCCGTGTTGATATACAGATATATCGACACGAGTGGAAATTGGGAAAACGAGAAATTGTGTGGAAATACGACGCCCGAAGGGCGGAGTGTTTTCACACAATTTCGAGTTTTCCCAATTTCCACGAGTGTTGATAGTATAACTATATATCAATACGGAAAAAATGTTTTATATTTGTTTTATAATATAGCACAAAGAAATATAAAAAAAGAAATTTTCTGACGTTTCCGTGTTGACAGTGAGTTATATCAACACGGCTCTTAGCCAATCAGCGTTCAGAATTTACAAATGCTATATTATATACTGGTAGCAAGGACCTGTTAAGTTTAAGGAATGATAAAAAAATATTGTACTAAAGCCCGATCATAACAATTTTAAAATGTATAAAAGTTTTTAACAAACTAATACTAATACTAAAGTTTTGAAAAACTAATTCTACATCAACCTTGTACCCAGGCTCTTACCTTCGCACGCCCCCAGCTTGCGAAGGTAAGAGCCTGGGTACGAGGTTGATTCTACATTTGAAACAGTAGTTTAAAATATATGGTTTTTAAGCTATTCTTAAATCTTAAAATTGATATTTCGTCACTCACAGTAGATCGCAGCTGGCGGACTGTTCAGACTGCTAAAAATGAGTGCTCCTTCATAGTACGTAAAACTTTTACGCCCAGCTTCAGTTCTCATACTCGGTAGATTCAAACAGCGGGCGGTTACCACGAGTTGTATAACTATGGTTAATCTAGAGAAATAGTTAAAAAGTTCCGGTGTAATGTAACGACATCATCATAGCATTTCTTTTTAAAATAGTGTAAGCAATGGTCGTTCATTCCGCTACGGCATTTGACCTTCACAAAGAATTTTTGCCTTCTCTTGAATGCGTTCTAACTTCTCAACCCAATCAGTGGCGTAGGAAGGGGGGGAGCACATGCCCCCCCCCCAACTTTTCAAAAGTGCCCTTTACCTCCGTGAAAAATGTCGTTTAGATTGCATTTTTTGCCCAATGGCCTTTGATTTATGATTGGATTTGTTTTTGCATTTTGGTATTTCCTGAAAAATTCAGTTATTTTCGGGTAAAATTGTTTTTGGTATTTCCGGAAAAAATTTGTGATTTTCCGGAAAAATATGATATCTCCGGAATTTCTGGAAAAAGTAATGATATTTCTGGAAAAAATAATGCGATATGTCCGGAAAAATTTTTGGTGTGTACGGAAAATTTTTTTCAGATGACCTCCCCGCGTCGCCAACATTTCCGGGAAAAAAAATTTAGGTGCCCTTTTCAATCGAAACGTGCCCCTCGAAGCCTGGCCCCCCAACTTTTAGATGCTTCCTACGCTCCTGAACCCAATGACGAGTTAGTTCGAATAATATAGTACTACAATGTGTCATAATTTTAGGTGCCCTTTTCAAGCCCCCTCCTCCAACAAGGTTGGTGCAGGGATAGGAGTTTTAAAACGAACCGAAAACCATTCGTCCCCAATGAAACCCTGCACATCATCTATAAGGCGTTAACTCTGCCATACTTTGATTATTGCTCCCCTTTGTGGGATAATTGCGGAATTGTACTGAAAGAAAAACTACAGAGATTCCAAAATAGAGCTGCAAGGGTGTTGACGGGAGTAAGTTATGATACCAACTCCTCTGAGCTCCTTGAACGGCTTAACTGGAAAAGTCTTGAAAACAGATTTAGATTTAATAAGGCGGTTCTGGTATACAACATTCTTAATAATGGTACTGCCCCCTGTCTTCAAGAATTCTTTTCTGCACGAAGCAATAATGATAATGACTATCATCTCAGAAATTATGATACAGATCTCTCACTTCCAAAACGTACCTAAGAAAGAATTTCTTAAAAGAAGCTTTAGGTATAGCGGAGCTGTGCTGTGGAATAGTCTTTCTGCTGAGGCTAAGTCTGCTCATTCGATTTATTGTTTCAAAAGACTTATTTGAATCTTGTTTTTAATTGTTAGTCCATTTGTAACTACACATTATGTTCTGGGTAATATTCTTTTTGGGTCTGCGGGTTAATTAGTTTTTTCTTCATTTTTATATACTTGTAAATAGCTAAATAGACGCCCCTCATGAAAACCGGCCGTATAGCTGATGCGGATAGCGTCTCTAAAGAAATTAAATACATACGTTTGCGATTTTATCATTACATTGTAAATGCAGAAGGCTACGTGTGGAGTTAGATTGACTCTGATCTCTGCAGGAGTTTCAGACGCGATGTAGCTTTCTTGAACACCGCTGACACTGTGGTTAAATGTTCATACAAATTCAAGTGATGATCGAGAGTCACACCTAAATAAGAGGGGCCTGTACCAGTTTTCGGGATGCGTCTAAATCTCAAGTGGAATTCGGGATTTTAAGAGAAATATTAGCGGGAAGCGGGATTTTATTCCATCGCGGGAAGTGGGATTAATTAAAAATACCATGGCGATATGCAGGGAAGCCTACTCATCACGATTAGCAGAATAAATCAACAATGTTGATTGTGTGCTCGAAATTTACTGTTTTCAAGCTAAGGACGATATCGAACATTTGTCCCCATCAACCTCCCCTTTACATGAGTCGTCTATTATTTTAAACTTTGTTGTATTGTATTCTAGTGTATTCAAATTGTATTCTATGTCGTTACCATGTCTTTGAATACTTGGTTATCCACTGTCTACATATGAAAAAATCGGTCGGGATGGCGGGATTTCGTAACCCGGTGTCCCAGGAAATTTGGACCCCCAAAATTGCCCCCTCCCGGGCCAAATTTCCTATGGCCCCTTCGGAAATTTGGCCCCCTCGATATAAGCTCGCAAATCGTGAAGCTTCTTCTAAAACCAAGATCCTAAAAATGTTTGTCACTAATTGTCAGTATTTATAGTTAGTTTGCATAATTTATTTGTGTCGAAATTCTTCATTGCGGCCAAGAGCTAAAAGTTTGAAGGAAAGCGTAATAATAATAATGTGCTAGTGCAGTCATGCCAGACACATCACACATGGGTATTTGTAATTGTAGAGGACAACATTAATGTATAATTGGAAATTAAACGAGCCTTACCTGGAAGGTGATGTTTGATGATAATTCTACCAAGTCCGTAGTTGTACTGAGGGTTAACATGAGATGCACGCTGTGTGTTGCCATGAGTCAGACTTTAAAACGGTTGTGGACGCAATTAAAAGATGTTTGTTAGAACCACGGGCGGGGAAAGTAGGGAAGGGCATGTTAACCCTCAGTACAA